GCACTGGCAACGCGGCTGTAGTACGAGTGTGGAATCCGCAGTGCAGTCGGCCTTGATTAGTAGGTCGACCCTGCCGAACCAAGGGTACCCTTTTGTCCTGTGCCTCGCGACCAATGCCTCCTACGTTCCTATGGCAATGTGGCCTTCGGAAGGGTCTCGTGTCCTCTCGCGTGCCCTGTCCAATCAAGTCCGACTGTATCTTCGGGAGGCAGCGGGCCTGGAAGCCGTCCATCCGGGCGCGTTCTGACACCCACCCTTCAACCATGCCGATGCAGTGCGCAGACTGCACAACAGTTTGCTCAGCACGCACGCTTCCAAAATACGGATCTTCCCAGACACAGAGACTGCAGTGCAGGACAATCTGCGCGACAGCGCATCAAATTCCGCCCTGGCTGCGCCAACTCGTCTGCTCGATTCTGTTTGAACGCCCCCGTCTGCAGAGAGTATGTTCTCAAGGCGCACGATGCTGTCCTTCTGACTGATGGGCGTGCCGTCGGGCTTTGTACTGTCGGCTGTGCACCTGAGTGAAAGAACTTCAACTTCTTCCAAATGCACTTGAGCCCGTAATTTGAGCCAGCCATCTCGAATGCCTGCATGTATAAGGCTGCGGTGTCCGCAGAAGACGCGACGAGGAGCGTGTCATCTGCGATCTGCGTAGATAACCCTCCTCCACGTCTGCTGCGCTTTGCCCAAGGACTGCCCTCGCATCTGAGATCAAAACTGTCATGAGCATGGCGAGCAGGAATGGCGAGAGAGGGTACCCCTGGTAGATGCCCGCGTGCTGCGGCCGAGAGCTTGAAATGGCACCGGCTTCCCTGACTGCAAAGCGCCGTGCCGTGTAGATCGCCTCGATGGTTGCCAGCATAGGTGCAGACAGGCCGAAACGCTTGAGCGCCAGCAGGAGGCTGTCTGGGGGGCAACGCTGTCAAATGCTTTGGTTCAGCTCAGGGCCAAAAACACTGTCTGACCATCTCTTGCCTCCCATGTATCTTCGATGCTCTGGCACGCCAAGAGGATGACATCCGCCGTACCATGTTTCGGTGTGATATCGGACTGTGTGTGGCAGGTGCGATCTTCGGCGCCTGCCCGCTTCAACCTTTGCAGGAGGGTTGCCGCGTACAGCTTATAACCCGCCTACAGCAAGCATATGGGCCGACAGTTCTCGCACTTGGACTCGTCACCTTTTTTGAAGATAGCTGTAACTATGGATTCGTGCCACGAGTCAGGCACCGCCCCCTCGGCCCAACACATCTGGCAGAGAGCTGTGGCCCAATTGCGCACAGGCGAACCGCGCGTGCAAGCCGCTATCCAAATGTCGCCAGTCACACCGTCAGCGCCGCAAGCCTTGCCCCATTTCATTTTCCAAGCTGCGGCCCTGACCTCCTCGTCCGTGACGGGTCCCGCGTCGACCCCGAGAGCAGGTCCCAACGGTGTATCATCCATGGTTTTGGCGTGCTTCACAGCCCACTGCACCTTCTCGAAGGACTCTGCCGCAGTCTCCGCACGGTCGTAGGCATCGAAGACGTGACCAGCTGGGTCTCAGAGCCGGCCCTGCCTGTGAGGGCGGCCCCCGCGAAATTGCCGCACCTCTGTCCAGTTGCCTGTCGCCAGCACGCCGTTGAGCCATTCGTTCTTGTCATCTTCGACGTACAGCGGTGGAGCAGTCTCTCGGAGATTGGGTCGCCCTGCCACATTGCAGCGGCACGGTCATCGATGATTTTCAGCGTGCGGCTCGAGATCCACGGCCGATGCGGTTTCGCTTGGGGAGCCTGTATTGTCTCGACGGCAGCTTTGTGGATAGCCTCAGACGTGCTTCGCTCGATGTATGTCGTCCACGGTTGCTGTCACCACGTCCAGCCCCTCCAGCTGTTCCGAGAAAGCCGCCGTGAGCCGAATGGCCACTACAGGGGTACGAACGGTCTTCAAATCGAGCGAGAGGTTTCCAGCGGACCAGTTATCTTTCGGCACCTCCAGCCCAAGTTCTGCGTAGACAAATGGTGCGAAGCCAATGCGCGCGAGCGGTCGCTGCGAATAGAACGAAATACATGCATCGAAGCTTGAGACAACAATGCAACATACAACATCAATCTGGCCGAAGTTATCTGCGGTTGCTGGGTGGCCCGGGCTCTTGAGAATTATCGTCGCACGTGATCTGGCTCGCCGCTGGCATGCTGAAGAGGGTGTTGCCGATCACAATCTCAGCCTGAGTGCACAACTCTGTGAGGAGGGTCCAGTTCGAGGCGGCATTGTACACCGTCCCAGGGCTTTCAAACATGTGTGGCCCCATGATGCGTTCTTCATCTGGGAATCGTCGGTGGAGCCTCGCATTGAAGCCCCTTAGTACCAGCAAGGGCCCATGGCGGGATTTCTTGCCAAGGAAAGAGCCAAGTTCGCTATAGAAATGTTGCCCGTCAGCAGCCAGATTGCCATTGTGAGGCGCATTGATGCTACAGATTGTGGCCGTGCCGCCAACCACGCGGATCTTTAGACAAGCCATGCGGGAAGGTTCTTGTTTGAAATTGATCACGCTTTTCCGGGCGTGGGGAGCAACAACACATCCAACGCTTGCAGTCTTTAGATAGTCCGCGCCCGCTTTGCCTGACAGCTCGTACATGAAATCATATTGTGTACAATCTGATTATGAACCAATGTTGTGGGTCTCTTGGATGCACAATTTTCGACGCTCAATGTGCGCATGTGTATCTCGAGCTCAACGTGTTTCGCTTCTGTGAGGTGGCTGCAAGGAAAAAGTAAGCCGACTCGGTATTCCCGTGGATCTGTAGTGTGGCCGACTGCAGGTGAAGCATTACGTCCCTCGTTGTAGCAAACTCTGAAATAATATTGGTTCATAGGCGCAGAACTGCCGACTGCTGGTGAAACGTTGCTTATGTGCGCTGCTTCCTAATGGTTCGGGCGCCCCTCTGAGCCGCCCTTCGACTGGCCTTCCAAGCCGGCCGCTGCCCTGGATACGATTCCGTCGCACTTCGACTTCAGCTTCGTGACCATTGGATTTTGGAGCAAGTCTGTCCAAGTGGCCCATTCGCCCTGCCACTCGCAGTCGACCCCGGTCTTCGTGACGTTCGCCGTGGGAGCGTGCTCCCCGCCCACTGTGACAATGTACGGCACCTCGTCGGCGATCGAGATCGCGTAAGGCACCTGCCAGTCCGTCTTGAGGATGCGCTTGAGGCCGAAACAGGAGTTCCCAGCCGCACGCCCGGGGGCCTCTCTGCCTTCGTTCGCCCAGGTGTGCTTGCCTCCACTCCGAAGGCCAGCACCCCTGAGTAGCTCCACGGCGCGGTCGCGGTCGAAGGTGCCCCCGATCTCGGCAAAAAAGGGTGCCAACGTAGCGCCCCTTAGCGTGCGTCTTCGTCGGCAGCGGGGCGCCTAGGACGAGAGGTTCTCGTTCAGCGCTGTGGTCGCCTGCTCGAGGTCGGGGAGGCCCTCCAGATTCCCGATGACAGCGGTACAGGCTTTCTTATCCAAGATCCCTCCCGACGCAGTGCCGGCGCGAGTGGGAGGGTGGGCGGCGGTTCCCTTCCTCGTGTAGTCGTCGATGCCCTCCCAGAGCTTCTTCTCCAGGGTGTCCGCGTCCACGGAGTGGCACTGGAGCAGGTTGTTGTACAAGTTCTCCAGCTTCTCGACACGAACCTCGGTGGCGGTCATGCGCTGCTCGAGGAGCTCGAGGCGTTCGGCGAGGGCAGCGTTCAGATCGGTAATGTTACCGTCCATGCGCCGCACCTCCTTGCGAAGCTCCACCACTGCCGAGGTCACCAGCGACAGTACTGCCGCGATTCCGGCCATCGTGTGGCCCACGTTGGCAGGACACCGATCCGCGCCTTTTGCGTTTCACCTCTTGCCGATCGCACTGTGGTCACACGCTGGCCTCACCGCGACCGTTGGTCAGTGGTGTGCGCTCCCCTCTCTCCCCCCCTCCAAGCTGCGTTGAACAAGACTTGCAACAAGAATCTCCCTCCAAGCTGCGCCCGTGGTGCACGCGTGCCCTGCAACGTGTGCACAGGGACCTGCGGTTCACGCCGGCGTTGCCACACGCACACGGGCCCCGCCCTCCGAGCGTGAGCTCACGCGCAGCTGCCCGCGGGCAACCCCCGCCACCCTGCCACCGCCGCAGCGCGGCAGGGAAGAAGTCCTCGGGCGAGGAGCCGCTCCTCGGCCCTTCGCGGAAGCCGCCCTGCCACTGGGCCGAGCCGCCGCCAGGGCCGCCGCCAGGGCCGCGGCGCCCTCGAGGCGAGCGCCTCGATCGTTCGGGGCCTAGCGACTTTTGCCGTCCCTCGACTCGCGCTGGCGCGGCCACGATGTACTGCCAATTTCCTTGGAGATCCCTGGAGTTGCTTGGGTTTATCTGGATTTACCCGTGCTTACCTCGATTTGTCTGCATCTGCCTTCATTTACCTGGCTTGATCCCGGCAAGTCGATTGGCGAAGAGCTTGCCGCCCAGGCTCTGCAGCATCCATGGCGAGTCGGGGTGGAGCGGTTCCTCTGTCTGAACCTCCACGAGGCCTCCTTCCCCTCCGTCCGTCCCTCCCCCATGGAGGGGAGGAGGGGGAGGAGGAGGAGGAGTATGAGGAGGAGGAGGAGGAGGAGGAGGAGGAGGAGGAGGAGGAGGAGGAGGAGGAGGAGGAGCAGCAGGAGCAGCAGGAGCAGGAGCAGGATCAGGAGCAGGAGCAGGAGCAGGAGGAGCCGGAGGAGCCGGAGGAGCAGAGGAGCAGGAGGAGCAGGAGGAGGAAGAGGAGGAGGAAGAGGAGGAGGAAGAGAGGAGGAGGAGGAGGAGGAGGAGGAGGAGGAGGAGGGAGGAGGACGACGAGCAGAAGGAAGAGGAGGAAGAGGAGGAGGGGGAGGGAGCTCCGCATCACATCACGTGACGAAATCTCTCTGTCCATTTGGTTTCTCATCTTGCTGATCATGGTTCTCATCCCTCCGCCTGGGGGGGGGAGGACGAGCAGGAGGGGGGCGTGTTTGGGGGCGGGGGGGGGGCCGCACAGGTGTCTTCGATCGCGCCAGGGGCGAGAAGACAGATGCCGCGAGGCCCGTGTGGCCGGAGGCCCGGGCGCCCCCCCCCCCTCCCCTCCCCTCCCACAGGTATGGCCTCCTCGTGGAGGAGGGATGGAGGCGGAGGAGGAGATCAGGGGCAACGTTAGGGGGGAGGATACGCTCAGGGGGGAAGCATCGACCACCAGTCGCCCATGGACCGCCGGTAGGGACCCGATAACCCGCCCCGCCCAGCAGCGTGCGGATTCCCTGTCGGGGACCTGTCGCCGAGCTGTCGGCGATGCGTCGTCCAGTCCTAGGTCGAGCCCCTGACGTTCCCCTCTCAGAGAAGGGAAAGGAAAAGAGAATGGAGGAAGGGAGGGGAGACGTGGAAGACGGAGGGGGAGGGTATGTGACGGGTTAGCAGGTGGCCAGCATCCGTGACGGTGGCCACCACCCACCCTTCATTCATTTTCATGGGTAGAGCGTGGGCCCAGGGTTCTCTTTTAGGATGGCAGTCTGTCTCAGGTGCCAAGTTCTCGCAGGGCAGGCGGATTGCTGCTCGATGAAAGGCTATGCACAGTCCCATGTTGGATTGACATTCTAAGGATGTCCCGAGCGAAACGCTGGTGTTTGAAAGTCCGCTCGATAAATAACGGCGTCCGCGGACGTTTGTTTTCCTTTCTAAAACTTGCCGCGGAGCGCTTCGCTCATAATCTTCTGTGAGTAACGAGGTCTGGAGGCCTCACACTTCGATAGATAATTGGAACATGTTGATTTGTTGTGTGCTCGCTCGAGGATGGCGCGTCCTCCGCGCAGACTTCGCAAGGATGCCTCGAGCGAAGAGCTTGTCTCGCAACTCTGGAAGGGCCTGGGCGCCCCTACCACGATGCCGACGCGGTTCCGGGAGCACGGTCGCACCGTCATGAGGCTGTGGCCATGGGAGCGCGGGCGCACCGTGCTTACGAAGGACCGTTACCCTTGGGAAGGCGGGCACAGCTCAGTTGACAGAGGATCCTGGCCCTGGGAGCGCCGACACGGCGTGCTCTGCGAGGGATCCTGGCCCTGGCAGTGCGGACGCAGTGCGATTTGCAAGGGATCGTTGCCACGGGAGCGCGGACGCCGCAATTTGTAAGGGATCTTGGCCCTGGCAGCGCGGACGCAGCGGGCCTGGGAGCGCGGACACAGCGTGATTTACGATGGCCCTGGGACGGACAGCGTAATTCACGAGGCAGCCTTGGGAGCGCGGATGCTGCGTACTTCACGGGGTGTCGTGGCCCTAGGAGCGCGGACGCAGTACAATTTACATGGGGTCGTAGCCTTGGGGGAGCGGGCGGAATTTGCAAGGGATCGTGGCCTTCGGCTGAATTTACATAAGCAGGCGGCCCTGTGAGCGCGAATCCAGGCTAATTTGCAAAAGATACCGGACCTAGGAGCGCAAACCCAGCGTGATTTATTACAAGGGGGCCTTGGAAGCGCGCAGGCAAGGTAATTTGCGACGATTCGCGCCTTCGGGTCCAGTGCTGAATGTTCAGGAAACGTTGGTGGAGGTCTTCCATGCGATTTTCTAACATGAGGAGTTGTCGAGGATGCCTCGAGCGAAACGCTTGTTCTCACGTGGCCAGCTCGCCCAGGCGGATGTCTAAATGTGAGGATGTGTTGACGGTGTCTCGAGCGAAACGCTTGCTTTCACGCGTCCAGCTCGCGAGTGTGTTGAGGATGCCAGGAGCGAAACGGTTGTTTTCACGTGTCCAGCTCGTCTTGGCGGGTGTCTGGCACGAGGATTTGTTCCGGTTCTCTCGAGTGAGGGCCTCGTTTGCAGCGAAATGTTCTTTATGCAGGAAATGTTGAGACTGTCTCTCGCGAAATGCTGATTTTGCATTGTTTGAGACAATGTCGAGCGGGGGCCTTGTTGTCTGTCGGTGCGTTTCCTTTCGGTTATGCTTCGCCCCCCGCTCGTTCCGTTCCACTTCGGAACTGAATCGGATCTTGGCTTCGAGCTGGTTGAACGCCCCGCCTGTTTCGACTGCAACCTCATGAGCGCCATGCGCGCAGGCAGCTTGGGCTCAAGACCCAGATCAGTTCGGACAGGATTGGGGTGCCCAGGATGGCTTGAATCACAACGCAACCGAGAACAGCAAAGTTCAACACAGCGTGACGCAACCCAATGCAGCACAGTACTGATCAATCGTACTTTACGCCACGATCGAGGCCGTGGTCATTTGCGAGCAGCCTTGGCACCTCGGAATGCGGCTCCCTCGTCAGGAGACGCATTAAGGTGTCAGGATGGTGAGCCGAACCATATTCGGCTCTTCCCAGTCTTGGTTTGATTTGTCTCCCTTGGAGTATCGGCGTTTGCCTCGGTTCGTATTTGGGTTGGTCTTGATGCAGATGGTCGCGTCTTGGTTTGTCGCGCTTCGTTCCGGCCATTCTCGGTGCGGTTTGCGTCGGTTCGGGGTCGCCCCCTCTTGGTTCGTCCCGTTATGGAACTGAATCAGACATTGAGCTCGGGCTGGTCGAGCACCCCGCGCCGCTCGACGGCAACCGGCTCGAGTTGTGCGTTGAGGCAGCTCGAGCCGAAGCTCCAGATCAGTTCGGTCAGGACTGACGTCAAGGACGACCTGATCTACAATGCACTTGAGCAAAGCACATTTCAACGTGGCATGGCACATCTCAGTTCACCACAGCACAGCGCAGCCCTTGGCACGGTGCATCACCATCGTTACCTTGAACATTGTAATTGCCCGTCGCCCAAGTTTGGTGGCCTGGAAACGTATCCATGCCGCACAAGTCGATGTCCTTTTTTCGGGTTCGTGGGTCTAGCATGTGTTCTTCCCTCTGGCGTTCCCTCATCCCCACCACCTCCACCGTTACTGTTAAATCCCCGCTCACGTCCCCCGCCTGTGGTCAACCCCTGGTTCCTAGTGGCCAGGAGCAGTCAGCACAGTGTGGGTCTACACGGCCAAGCGTGGTATCAGAAAAGTGGGAGCGCGAGTTTCCGATCGATTACAGTGCGAAGTCAAACTTACAATTGAACAAGGGCGTTTCGTGCGTGCCCGCTTGAAGAAAGCGCATGCCCCATGTCGGATCCTCATGCTAATGCCCGGACGTAGATGTCGCGTCCTTCGCAGTCTTTTCGAGGATGCCTCAGGTCGCCCAGGCGAATATCTAACATGAGGATTTGTTGAGGATGTCTCTGGCGACGCACTTATTTTCAGGTGTCCAGGTCGCCCAGGCGGATATCAAGCATGAGGATGTGTTGAGGATGCCTCGGGCGAAACGCTTGTTGTTTCATTGGTTCCTTTCGGCCCGTGGACCGGAACCGTGTGCTTTGATACATGGGTCCTTCTCATCTGCGAGCTTCAAACATGTGCTTGTACACGGGTCCTTTTTCGCCCGTGGGCCGAAACAATATGTTGTCACACGGATTCCTTTCGCTCGGGGATGCCTTTGGTTGCCCAGGCGGATCTTTTACGCGAGGTTCATTTGAGTATATATTAGGTAAAGCGCCTGTTTTTACCTGAGTGTCTGTCGTCTCTGAGCTTCATCCATGTGTTTAACCTGTCCCTTTTGCCCGTGGGCCGACAGCCTATGTGGTTTGCGTACACGGTTTCTGTTCGCTCCTGAGTTCCTCAGGTCGCCCAGTCGGGCATCTAACATGTGGATTCGTTGAGGATGTGTGCAGCGAAACGCTTGTTTTTACATGGGGTCTTGGGGTCTTGTTCGTTCGTGGGCCGAAACACTATGTTTTCACATGGGTCATTTTCGCTCGTGAACGCCTCAGGTTGCCCAGGTGGATGTCTAGCGTCAGGATTGTTTGAGGTTGTATATGTCGGCACTCTTGTGTTTACATGGGTTCCTTTCGCCTCTTGGCCGTATCAATGTGTTTGCACATGGGTTCCGTTTGCTCGTGCATGCCGCATGTCGCCCAGGCGGATATTTGACATGAAGACGTTGTGGAGGATGTCTCAGGCGACTCGCTTGTGTTTACATGGGTTCCGTTCGCCTGTGGGCCGAAACCGTGTCTTTGTACATGGGTTCCTTTCGCTAGTGAACGCCGTATGTCGCCCAGGCGGATATCTTACATGAAGATCTGTCGAGGATGTCTCGGGCGAAACGCTTGTCGTTACATGGGTTCTTTTCGCTCGTGGTTGCCCGTGAGCCGAAACCGTGTTTTGTTGCATGGGTATCTTTCGTCTGCGAGCTTGAACCATTTGTTTCTACATAGGGTCCTGTCGCCTGTGAGGCGACACCAGGTGTTTTGGTACATGGGTTCTGCTCGTCTGCGAGCTTCTACCATTTGTTTTAACACGGGTCCATTCCGATGGGGCTTGAAACCACGTGTTTTGTAACGGGTTCCGTTCGTCTGCGAGTTTCACACATGTGTTTTTATATGAGTTCAGTTCGTTTGTGAGCCGAACACGTGTGTTTTGCTACATGGTTGCCTTTCGCTCGTGAACGCCTCAGTTCGCCCAGGTGGATACCTGACGTGAAGATGTGTTGAGGATGTCTCAGGCGAAACTCACGTGTTTACACGGGTTCCAGTCGCCCGTTGACAAGGGCGGGACCATGTGGTTCTACATGGATTCAGTTCGCCCGTGGACTGAACACCATTGTTTTGTTACATGGGCTTCTTTCGTCTGCGAGCGTCAACCATGTGTTGTTACATGGGTTCTTTGCGCCCGTCGGCCGACACCATGTGCTTTGTCACATGGGTTCCGTTCGCATGCGAGCTTCAACCATGTGTTTTTATTCGGGAGCGGCCAAGAGGGGGTGAGGACTAGGGGTGTGTGCGTATCATGGTTCAGTTCAGGATGAGTTTCGAAACTAACGAATCCATGTAAATTACATGGATTCGTTGCGCCTGTGTCCCGAAACTGTGTGTAGTGTACTTACACGGGTTTCTTTGCCCGTGCGCGAGAACATTTGAGGATGCTTCGGGCAAGTGCTTCTCATTCGACAGGAAGTTGCGGGACAGCCTTGGGCGGGGGCCTCACCTTGCTGGAGCTCCGGGAGGAGAAGGAGGGGGAACAGGAGCCGAAGCAACGGGTTCAGGAGGACGCGAAGCCGCGG